CCACGCGCACAGCACCCCCAGACTCAGCACCCCCAGGCTCGTCACCCCCAGGCTCAGCACCCACGCGCACAGCACCCCCAGAGTCAGCACCCCCAGGCTCAGCACCCTCAGCAGGACCAGAGTCATCATCAACCTGGACCGGCTCGACGGCGTCTACCTGGGACACACCTGAAGGGGCAGCAACCTGAGGGGGGGGGGGTCTACCGGGGGGGGACCTGGCACAAGGAAGTCCGGTGGCGGGGGGAGGGAAGGAGTGCGGTAGGGGAAGAGGCGGTAGAAGGGGACGGACTCGTCGAACGTGACGTCCAGGGAGGACAGAACACGACGAGAGGAGGGGTGGTAGAACTGCCACCCTGGAGCGTCAGGGGGGAAGCCAAGGAAGACACAGGGAGAAGCACGGGGGGACAGCTTGTCCGCAGACAAGTCGCGGACAAACACCCGAGATCCCCAGACACGGAACGCAGACGCATCGCCGACCTTCCCAGTCCACAGGAGGGCCGGGGAGGTACGGACCTTCCCCGGCCGGGAAACCCCGGGGTGAAGGTTGATCTGATGCGCCGCGTACCTCACCGCAAACGGCCACAGAAAATGGGGGGCAGCCGCATGCATCATGGACGTACGGGCGACGTCCATGACCATGCCAATGCGGCGCTCAGCAATCCCATTTTGCTGTGGAGAGTCCGGAAGCGTAAAGGTCTGGCGGATGCCCTGTGCACGACAGTAGGCTCGCAGAAGGCTAGAGGAAAACTCTCCGCCTCGGTCAGAGTGCAGACGCAGAACAGGAAAGTCCGAGCCGAAGCTCCTCTTGAGCTGGAGACGAGCTGCGCGGATCCAGTCGATCAACACCTCAGTGACATCACCCTTGCTGCGCAAGGGGAAGACTGTGGTGAAACGCGAGTAGTCGTCAACCACCAGCAGAAAGTAGCGCTCGTGACCCTGTCCACGGACGCGGGCCGGGCCCCACACGTCCATGTGAAGCGTCTGCAGAGGAGCCTCTGTCGGAGGAAACTGTGAGGAGTGGGGGGCTGCCTGGAGGCGCCCCTCGACACAAGGGACACAGGAAGGTCCTGGCCCCAAAGGAAGGGGAGGGAGAGACCGGGGAAGACCAGAGACAAGGACACGGGAAGCCATGTCCCTGAGACGAGACAAGGAGAGGTGGCCAAGACGGTGGTGCCACAGGAGAGTCTCGTGGGACAGGAGATGACACGAGCAGGGGGCAGACTCAGGACCAGACCTGGACGCAGCAGCAGACACCTGACCCGACGCAGCTACCTGGCTAGACACAGGGACAGGAGGAGACTCAGTGGTCAGGGTGTAGAGGCTCGACCCCGGCCGACGGGAGAACGTGGCCAGGTGCCGACCTGTGCGCGCGTCCGTGCAGTGGGTCACCCGCTGACTCGCACGAGTAAACTGGTGAACCCCCGCATCCTGTAGGGCAGCACCACTCACCAAGTTCGTCGAGAACGAGGGGAGGTACAGGCCTGACAGGGCGCCCGAGGGGGCAGCTGGACACGGTAGAACTGTGGAGAAGTGAGAGAGGACAGGAACCCCAGAGGGGTCAGCCAGGGAGACCGCAACCGGCCGGCCAAGCGGCGTGAGTGTGGTGCGGTCACGAAAGAAGGAGCGAGAAGCCCCAGAGTCAAGTGTAAAGGTGAGGGAGGCCGAAGCCGACGCGGTATCTGAGAGCGCAGCCTCACCAGTACCTGAGAGCGCAGCCTCACTAGTACCTGAGAGCGCAGCCTCACCAGTACCTGAGAGCGCAGCAGTGTCACAGGCACCTAGCGCAGCCGTACCAATGCCCGGGTTGGGCGGGAAACACCGGTAACAGTCACCCTCATCACTAATAGACACAGCATACATGGCAGCAAGGATAGCATCAAAGTCTAGCTCAAAGATCGCTACACCGGCTCTAGAAAGGTCTCCCCAGCGGGGGATCTCAGAGGCGTCAGGGAACTGCTGACGCCAAGCGTCCGTCAGGCGGCCAAAGCAGCGCCGGGTGGTGTGGGCACCCCCACACTGCTCACCCGCGCGGTCGCTACTGCGAAGAACGTAGGTGCACGGGCCAAAACCTCCACCACGCTGACTCTGCGCGTACCACTCACGGAGCTGCTGAGGCGGGGGGATGTCCCGAGAACGCTGCTGCTGCTGCTGCTGCTGCCGCGGACCACCACCAGAGCCGCTCCGCTGCGGGGCACTACCCCGACCGGCTCCACCTCCCCCGCCACCACCTCCTCCACCTCCGCCACCACCACCGCCTCCGCTCCCACCGCCTCCGCCGCCACCGCCTCCGCCGCCGCTGCCGCCACCACCGCCACCACTCCCGCCACCACTCCCACCGCCACCCCCACTCCCTCCGCCGCCTCCACCGCCACCTCCACCGCCCCCGCCAGCTCCACCCACGCCCTTGCCCCCCTTGCCCTTGCCATGGCGGCGTCTCCCGCTAGGGGCAGACGCCGCGCCGACCGACTCAAGACCAAGCAGGTCGGCAGCAGCAGCAGAGGCAACAGAGGGCAGCAGGGGGGAAGGAGAACACCCCTCAAAGATGGGGGTGCGCGGGTCTCCACGAGAGGCTCCTACATCGACTATACTCTTCTCCGCCGCTAGGAGGGCCTTCTCGAGAAGGTCGACAGTGAGGGTGGTGGGACAGACTGAGAGGAAGTGGTCCCTGACTACGCGAAGGGAGTCAGGGAGACGAGTGATTATGTAATAGAGAGCGATGTACATGGGGGGGGGGGTTCTTGGCGCAGAACTCAGCAGGAAGGGCGGCGCGGTAGCGAGTGTCACTAGTGCGGAGGTGCGTAATGAGGTCAGCGACAGTGGGAAAGGCAGTGAGATCAGGAAAGAGGTACGGTAGCATGAGACGGCTCAGTGCAGCAGTGGCAGGGGAAGAGTAGCGTGCAACGACAGCGTCGTACAAGGTCTGAGCACTCTTGTACTGACTAAAGTGCGCGCGCTCAGTGGTGGGCAAGTGGCGACGCACAGCAAGACGTGCAGCAGCATCGCGGGTGGCCCACTGAGAGCGAACAGTGGGGTCAGCATCAGCAGCAGGGGCAGGAGAGGCGCCAGAGGTGAGGTCAAAGAGGGAAAGGCCGTCAGCTCTATCGCACTGTAAGAACAGCTGCAGGTCGTCGACCCAGACCTCAAAGTCAATGGCTCGACCCTCAGCGTCAAAAGCGAGGACACTGGGGGTAGCCATGACGACGACAGTGGAGCAGTGCAAGCAGTAGGGGAAGGGCACGCAGTGACAGCGGTACGGTGCTCACCGGGCCGGGCAGGTCGGGCGGCTCGGCTGCTGCTGGGCGGCTCGGCGGCTCCTGGGCGGCTCGGCTGCTCCTGGGCGGCTCGGCTGCTGCTGGGCGGCTCGGCTGCTCCAGGAAGGTTGCCCGGCGGCTCGGCTGCTCCTGGGCGGCTCGGCTGCTGCTGGGCGGCTCGGCTGCTGCTGGGCTGCTCGGCGGCTCCTGGGCGGCTCGGCTTCTGTTGGGCAGCTCGGCTGCGGCTGGGCTGCTCGGCCGCTGCTGGGCGGCGCGGCTGATGCTGGGCCGCGTAGGTAGGGCGGCGGGTGGGCCGCAGGTAGGGCGGCGGGCAGGCTGCAGGTAGGGCGGCGGACGGCCGCAGGTAGGGCGGGGGTAGGGCCGCAGGTAGGGCGGCGGGTGGGCCGCAGGTAGGGCGGCGTGCAGGCCGCAGGTAGAGCGGCGGGGCCGCGACGTTAGGGCGGCGCGGCCGCGACGTCAGGGCGACGGGGCCGCAAGGGAAGGGCGGCGGGGCCGCAAGAGCAGAGGCGGCGGGGCCGCGAGAAAAGGGCGGCGGGGCCGCGAGCAGGGGGCGACGGGGCCGCGACGTTAGGGCGGCGGGGCCGCGTCGTCAGGGCGACGGGGCCGCATGGGAAGGGCGGCGGGGCCGCAAGAGCAGAGGCGGCGGGGCCGCGAGAAAAGGGCGGCGGGGCCGCGAGCAGGGGGCGACGGGGCCGCTCAAATGAAGGCGGCGGGGCCGCTCAAGTGAAGGCGGCGGGGCCGCTCAGGTGAAGGATTGCGGGGCCGTGATCAAGGGCCGGCGGGGTTGAGAGAGTAGGGGCGGCGAGGCCGCGATGTAAGGGCGGCGGGGCCGCAAGAGTGTAGGGCGGCGGGGCCGCATTGGGTAGGGCGGCAGGGCCGCGATCGTAGGGCCGGCCGCTAGGGCGGCTCGGTGAGAGAAAGGCCCGAGGCGCGACTCGGAACGAGGGCGCTTCGGGCAGGAAAAAAATCAAGCGGTGGGCCCTAGGCGAAGTTCCCACAGGGGAACCTGCTCTCTACCATGTGAAATTAAAGAACAGGAATGAATGAACTATGAAATGTGTGAGTACAAATACCAACCCTAATTGGGTTGTACCCCCTATGGGATTCCCCACTATAGCCTACACAAAAGCATAAGCTATAAGTTCTGACACGGCGCGCTGCCGCCCCTCGACGTAGGGAACGCAGGTAGGGGCAGGCCCCGGAGGGAGGGGAGGGAGGGACCTGGGGAGACCAGAGACAAGGTGACGGGAGGCCATGCCTCGGAGACGAGGCAGGGAGGGGTGACCAAGGCGGTGGTGCCAGAGGAGAGTCCGGTGGGATAGGATAGCAGGGAGCAGACTCAGGACCAGACCTGGACGCTGCAGCAAACACCTGACCCGACGCAGCTACCTGACCAAACTCAGCAACAGGAGGAGATTCAGTAGTCAGTGTGTACAGGCTCGACCCCGGCTGACGGGTAAACGTGGCCAAGTGTCGGCCCGTCCGAGCACACGTACAGTGGGTCACCCACTGAATCGCAGGAGTGAACTGGTCAACCCCCCCATCCAGTAGATCAGCACCACTCACCAAGTTTGTAGAGAACGAGGGGAGCTAGAGACCTGACAGGGTGCCAGAGGGGGCTGCCGGAAACGGTAAGACAGTGGAGAAGTGGGCAAGGACAGGACCCCCAGAGGGGTCCGCCAGGGAGACCGCAACTGGCCGACTAAGCGGCGTAAGCGTGGTGTGGTCTCAAAAGAAGGAGCGAGAAGCACCCGAGTCAAGGGTGAAGGTGTGTAAGGCCTGAGCCGACGTGGTACCTGAGAGAGCAGACGCACCAGTACCTGGGGCAGCAGACGCACTAGCACCTAGAGAAGCAGCCTCACCAGCACCTAGAGCAGCAGCCTCAATGCCCGGGTCAGGCGGAACACACAGGTAACAGTCACCCTCATCACTAGTAGACACAAGATACATGGCAGCAAGAATGGCATCATAATCCAGATCAAAGATAGCAACCCCTGACCTAAGCAGCTCGCCCCAGCGGGGGATCTCAGTGGCGTCAGGGAACTGGAGACGCCAAGCGTCCGTCAGGCGGCCGAAGCAGCGCTGGGTGGTGTGCGGGCCACCGCACGGCTCACCAGTGCGGTCGCCGGTACGCAGGACGTAGGCACAAGGACCAGCACCCCCACCCCGCTGACGCGCAGCGTACCACTCACGAAGCTGCTGGGGGGGCGGGGTCTCACGAGTGCACTGCTGCTGCTGGCGCTGACCACCACCGAAGCTGCTCCGCTGCGCAGAGCCACCCCGACCAGCTCCACCTCCGCCGCCGCCACCTCCGCCACTGCCGCCACCGCCTCCTCCTCCGCTTCCACCGCCACCGCCGCCGCCGCCTCCGCCTCCACCGTCGCCACCGAAGCCCCCACCCCCGCCACCAATCCCACCGCCCCCCCCACTCCCTCCGCCGCCTCCACCGCCACCTCCACCGCCCCCGCCAGCCCCTCCAGCGCCCTTGCCCCCCTTGCCCTTGCCGGTGCGGCGTCTCCCGCTAGGGGCAGACGCAGCACCGACCTACTCCGTAGCAGCAGAGGCAATAGAGGGCAAAAGGGGGGAGGGGGAGCACCCCTCAAAGAAGGGGGCACGAGGGTCACCACGAGAGGCTCCTACAGCAACTATACTCTTCTCAGCTGCCAGGAGGCGCTCCTCGAGGAGGTCAACGGTGAGTGTGGTGGGGCAAACAGAGAGGAAGTGGTCGCTGACCGAACGAAGGGAGTCAGGGAGCCGGGTGACTATGTAGTAGAGGGTGATGTACATGGGGGGGGTTCTTGGCGCAGAACTCAGGAGGAAGGGCAGCGCGGTAGCAGGTGTCACTAGTGCGAAGGTGCGTAATGAGGTCAGCGACTGTGGGAAAGGCGGCGAGGTCAGGGAACAGGTACGGCAGCATGAGGCGGCTAAGGGCAGCAGTGGCAGGGGAAGAGTAGCGTGCAACTACAGCGTCGTACAAGGTCTTAGCACTCTTGTACTGACTAAAGTGCGCGCGCTCAGTGGACGGCAAGTGACTACGCATAGCAAGAGGGGCAGCAGCATCCCGTGTGGCCCACTGTGAGTGAACAGTGCTGTTAGCATCGGCAGCAGGGGCACCAGAGGCGCCAGACGTGAGATCAAACAGTGAGAGACCGTCTTTCTTATCGCACTATAGGAAAAGCTGTAGATCATCGACCCAGACCTCAAAGTCAACAGCCCGACCCTCAGCATCAAAGACGAGAACGCTAGGGGTAGCCATGACAGCAGTGGCAGCATGCTAGGGGCAGCAGCAGCAGTAGCAACAGTAGGGGCGCAGCTCGGCGGTGCTCTTACCAGGGCAGGTGGGTAGAGGTCCGCAAGTGATGGGGCAGGGCCGAGGCGCGCTGGCAGGGACGGGGCCACTACAGGGCGGCAGAGGACTGCCGCTCCTCTCTGCAGGGCAGGCCCGGGACGGCGGCGGCGGCCCCTGCTGTCGGCGGCGGTGGCGGCTACAGTCGGCGGCTGCGGCCCCGGTAGTGGCAGCAGCGGCTGCTGTTGTCGGCGGCTGCGGCCCCGGCTGTGGCGGCGCCGGCTGCTGCTGTCGGCGGCTGCGGCCCCGGCAGTGGCGGCGGCGGCTGCTGCTGTCAGCAGCACCGTCGGTGGCGGCTCCCGCTGTAGGGGCGGTGACGGCTGCTACTGCAGGGGCGGCGACGGCGGGGCGGCAGGTCCGTGAGGGAGCCGAGAAGGGGGCCGCGGAGGAGCCGAGAAGGTGCCGCTAAGGGCGGTGAAGGGGCTGCGAAGGGGCCGTGAGGGTATAGCTGCCATACTTGCCAAAGCCCATTCCAACCACCCAAGTTACAAACTTCCTTTTCCAACTCACCCTCTCCAACTCAAGCCTATCAACCACCTCTTTAAATTCTCCCAACCACCATAGCCATTCCTAATCCAACTCATCTAAGACTTCAACCAAAATTCCTATTCACCTCCAAGTCCCTGTCAGTAGATCTACAATGTGGATGCCCGATTGATCCTGGAGAGGGTTACAGGCGCGTTCGCCTGGGGGGTTATGGGCGCACTGACCCGCTACTGAAACAAGCCCTTTTATCCCAATGGTCTAGTGGTTGGGATTCGGACATGGTATCAGAGCGGTCTCGGGTTCGATTCCCGGTGTATGCACATATAGGCCGTTGTCGCTGTGCTTAGTCCTGGGCCTCCCAGTCTGGGGGGGTGTCAGTAGATCTACACTGTGGATGCCCGATTGATCCTGGAGAGGGTTACAGGCGCGTTCGCCTGGGGGGTTATGGGCGCACTGACCCGCTACTGAAACAAGCCCTTTTATCCCAATGGTCTAGTGGTTGGGATTCTGACAGTCCCACCATAAGGCACACGACTCCTCATGATTTTCCATATGCTTTCTTTCCTTACTCACCAGATATTATCCAAGTCATCTACTGTTGAACTATATTTATATATGTTCTTTATAATTATCTACAGTGTAGAGTGTAGCACATCCCAATTTGCTGTAGGTGGTGCACCATGCTTCTCCTTGCTATATTTTGTACTCATCTTTCTTAGTGAAGTCACTCATTCCTGCTTCAACTCTCTCGACACCTCCTTCAACCCTAAAACCTAAGCTACTAAGTTACTCTAGCCATGGCTTCTAAGCCCTACTAGCTTAGTATCTTGACATCTACCTCCTCCAATATTCCTCCCTCCATGTGCCTTCAAGCACATGCTTCTAATTCCTAGTCATCAACCTCCACATGCCTCTTATTTATTCCTTCCTTCCTTCCTTTCCCAAGTCACCAAAGTTGCCAACTCATCCCTCAAGGACTTCATGATTATCCCATCACCTCCTATTCCAAGGCAACAAAGCTCATCTTCTCCTCCACTCATCCTTATCCAACTCACTAAGCTCTCTTCCAACTCAACAATGCCTACATCTCCAACTCACCAAGTGCTCAACCACCACTACATGCTACTTCATGATTATCCCATCACCTCCTATTCCAAGGCAACAAAGCTCATCTTCTCCTCCACTCATCCTTATCCAACTCACTAAGCTCTCTTCCAACTCAACAATGCCTACATCTCCAACTCACCAAGTGCTCAACCACCACTACATGCTCCAATACTATTCATCTACATCAAGCATCTCTACAACTTCTCAAGAAGGTTCTTCAATGATAACAATGCCTCTCAAGCTTCTTCATCAAGCTCCTCTCCAAGCTCAATCCAAGCTTCTCCTTCAAGCTCCTCTTCAACTACAAAGGCTCCTCACTAGCAACCAAGTTTCTATGTCTCCAAAGTTGATACTCTCATGCTACTCTCTTCCAAGGCTACCATTGATGGTTACTCTCTCTATGCATGCCTATGTATCCCTCATGGATCTATACGGCTTGTACTATACTCTCTTTAATATAAGTTTATGCTCATAATGCTCTCTCTCACATAGTTTACAAAGTAGTTATCAAGTGAAGAGTAGTCTACCTCATACTCCTTAAGAGTATAAGGAAGCTATAAGCTACAAGCTCAAGGGAGGATCATCATCCAACCCAAGACTTCAAGTCACTCCCAAGTAAACCATACAAGTTCAAGTTCTTCTTTCGAATTATTTCTACAACGATCCCTGGTAAGATTCACTCAAGTAAGTGTTCATGACCGCTCTTATTCTTTCAACGGGCTCATACTCTTCTTCTCTTCTAAGTTCTTATCTCATCAAGCATTTCATCTTACACAAGTTTCTCTTTATAGTCACGAGTTCTAAGCATTATTTTCTCTTCCATCAAGCTCATCTATATACTCTACAGTTTCACTGTTCACTCTTGTCTTATTCTATTGTGCAATTATACTCTTTTGTTGTTATCTCAATTCTCTACTCAAGTTGGGTGACGGGAGGGGTTCTCGTGTTCTTTACTCGCTCCAATTTTTCGCCCATCCTCCTCGCGAATGCACCATTCGTTTGTCAGAATGTTATTGTTCTCTAGCCTGCAGTGGGGTACTCTATAGCGAGGTAACCCCTTAGGGTTTCCTATATGTATCCTGCTGCTTTCTAGTGAACCTCCTCTTTTGCCTAAACTTTCTCTTGCCTAGCTAGGGCTTACCTAGCTATGGCTCCTGATTCTATCACTCATCTTAATATGGTGTCAGAGCGACTACGCTCTTGGCCTGTGGGCCCCACGTGCTTCCGCTACTTTCATGTCTGTCGCGCGCCCCGTGGCGCGCGACACCTTTTTCTTCCCGCCACGCGCTCGGGGCGCGTGGCGGTTTTCCGCCCGCCGTGCGCCCCGGGCGAGCGGCGTCTTCCTGCCCCGTCGCCGCCCTTCTCGGCCCCTCACGGCCTCTTCGCGGCCCCGTTGCTGCTCCTCTCACGGCCCCTCCCTATCAGACTAATATATAATTCTATATATTGTTCTATAACTGCCTGTAGTGTAGAATACTGTAGTCATATAACTTTCTAGTTGGTGGTGCACCTTGCATGCTCTGTTTGCTATATGTACTCTTGTGCTATAGTGAACATCATTCCCCTCTCAACTTTCTCGACACTTCTCCTTACCCTCGAACTCGATCACTAAGCTACTAAACCTATGGCTCCTAAGCCTACTCATGCTTAGTATCTTAACATGCTATCAGAGCAGAAACGCTCCTGGCCTGTGGGCCCACCTTCTTCCGCTGCTACTCTGTCTGTTGCACGCCCCGTGGCGTGCGATTTTTTTTTCGGGGACGCGCGGCCCCTGCTCTGCTCGTCGCGGCGCCCTGGGGGGACGCCCGGCCCCCACCCTGCACGTCACGGCCCCCGCCCTGCTCGTCGCGGCGCCCTGGCGGGACGTGCGGCCCCCGCCCTGTTCATTGCGGCACCCTAGGGGGACGCGCGGCCCCTGCCCTGCTCGTCGCGGCGCCCTGGGGGACGCGCGGCCCCCGCCCTGCTCGTCACGGCGCCCTGGGGGGACGCGCGGCCCCCGCTCGTCAGCCGCGGCGCCCTGGGGAGCCGCGCGTGCCCGCCGCACGTCCGTCGCGGCGCCCAAGGGAGCCGCACGCGCCACCCTTCCTCCGTCCCGCCCGTCCGTTTTGGGGGCCTTGGGGGTCGCGCGCCGTCCTCCCTCGCCGTCCCCCGCGCTCCTGCCCCGTCCCACCCGTTTTAGGGTTTGGGGGGTGAGGGGTGTGGGGGTGGCGGTTGTGGGGGTGTCGGTTGTGTGCGCCGTCCCCTCCTCCTCCTCCTCCTCCTTCGTCTCCCACTGCTGCAGCTGTCGCTGAGGGGGGTGGATGTGTGGGAGCTTGGGGTTTAGGGTTTAAGAGGGGTGCCGTGGGAGTGGAGCTAGGGTTTTGAGTAGGGGGTGTGTGTTGAGGGTGTGGGGAAGTTGGAGGAGGTTGTGAGAAGGTAGCTGTCGTGTCGCCTGCAGCGCCTGTAGTCCGTCGCCCTTGCTTCGGTAGCCAGTGAGCCTGTTGCACGAGTCGCCAGTGGGTCCGTTGCTCCTGCCGCTCGTCTATAGCCGCGGAGCCAGTTACTCCAGTAGTCCGTCGCCCTTGCTTCGGTAGCCACTGAGTCAGCCGCTCCTGTGCCCGTGCCTCTGCAGCTTCAATCGCTGCCTCCCATATTCTCTCCTTCCACAGTTCCTCCTCCTCACTTGCCCTCTGTGATAGCCTCTAGCTTTGCTTGCAATTGTGCATCTGCTCTATGAGTGTGTGCTCTACTGATTACACCCCACTTTGGCTATGGGGGTGTGTCAGAATGTTATTGTTCTCTAGCCTGCAGTGGGGTAATCTATAGCGAGTACAACCCCTTAGGGTTTCCTATATGTATCCTGCTGCTTTCTAGTGAACCTCCTCTTTTGCCTAAACTTTCTCTTGCCTAGCTAAGGCTTACCTAGCTATGTCTCCTGGTTCTATCACTCATCTTAACATCGTTTTCGTAGGGGTCGCTCTTGGTGGGTACTGTTCCAATGTTAACAGTACTTTCAAATGTATACTGTTGCTTTAAAATGAAACGCCAGCCTCAGAAAACTGAAACGAGAATGAGTGACTAAGGAGTGAAAGTAATACAAGTGTGCAACCCTAGAAATGTGT